ATATATATATATATATATATATATATATATATATATATATATATATGAGCAGTTTTCATCTAAAGGGAGAGTTGGGGGTTCGATTCCACCAGAAGTTACACAAGTAAGTGTCCCTGGGCAAGACACTGAACCCCTCATTGCCTCTGATGTGTTGGTGCATGAATGTGATAAAGCTCTGATTAGTCTTTGTATAGAAATAGTAGAGTGCTGTATGAACGAGTAAATGAGGACAGATTGTGTTGTAAAGTACTTTGAGTATCTTGATAAGATAGAAAGGAGCTACTATATAAGTACAGTCCATTTACCTTCATTCTTTACAAGAATCTGGTGTTTTATTTTGTCTTAATAAAAATACTAATGAATGTTAAAAATCATTAGATATTTTTAGTTTTATAACATCATCCCTACTGGCCAGAAAAGCCCCCTCCAACAAACTTGAAGTGGTCCATGGGCCACCAGTTGATAATCACAGTTGTTGCGACTCCAGACACATTTAATTTAGTGAGGGAAGGGGCAGAAATGGCCCTTTTGATTGTAAAGGTTGCAGACCTCTGCTCTGACCTAGTCCATAGGTTTAATTTCTTTTCAAGTGTTGGTAAATTTTTACACTTTTAGAAAAACAATGAATAATCATCAGAACAGCTTAAAACCCTCAACTGTAGCTGCTGTGAATCCAACTTGGGTTTGAGATGGATCATTGAATTTGGCATCACAAACAAGAAGTAGACATTATAAGTCTAGACCAGGGGGTCTGCAACCTTTGCAATCAAAAGAGCCATTTTATGCTTTCGTTCACTAAATTAAAAGTACTTAGAGCCGCAACAGCATGCTACAACTGTGGTTATCAACTGGTGGCCCATGGGCCACTTTAGCTTTGTTGGAGGGGGCTTTTGTGGCCACTAGGGGTGACATTATAAAGATAAAATAACAAATAATTTATATTTTTTACAATTTAAGACAAATGAAAACACCAGATAATTTTAAAGAGGGGTTTTTAATTAATAAAAACTATGATCTATGCAAACCTAGGTAATGTTTATATGGAAAAATTTATTAAGTATAGAAATAAAGCACAAAGTTAAAATATGTTTTACTCCTACTTGTTCCAGTATTCACATATTTGCAAAAGAAATGACAGGAAAACTGCTCAAACTACTGGTAGTCCTTTTTTTGTTGTTTATATAACAGCCAATAAAATTCAGTTTTATGTCAGTTTTGGTCAAAGCTTGAAAGAGCCGCTGCAGAGGGACCAAAGAGCCACATGTGGCTCCAGAGCCGCAGGTTGCAGACCCCTGGTCTAGACATTTGCTTCCAGTTTTCCTTTCCCAGCTATGATTTCTGACCCATTTTCTATAAATTTGGGGTATGCTCAAATTATAGCAGTAACATCACACTCACCTAAACCCCAGGTAACCCCTCCACCATGGAAGAATGTTGATTTTGTTGTTTTACTACAACTGCAAGCGACAAAACCTCTAGGAGTAAAGTTGATCACCCTACAGAGGTTTGTTTCTGTGCATGCTGACTTTCTTTCAGTGTGTGAGACTGTGTTTATTAGACAGCACATGTAGTTCCTAAAGTACACTCCTGCATGGTGTGGGCAGATGGGGGCTGTGAGATCACGTCAGGGCAGTGTGGGCAGTATCTCCAGCAGGCAGCTGGAATTAGTGAAAGGGAGGAAAAAGTCAGCTCTAGATTGAGTGGTGGGCCGCCTGAGGAGGCAGCGTATGATCTGCTGGGGTGGTTTTGTGTATCAGTGTGCAGCAGTGTGTGAACTAGTGTGTGTGTGTTACCATATGAAGTCGGTGCAGTGGCTGCAGAAGGTGGGCTGTTTGAAGAAGCGTGCTGTGAACTGATGGTCTTTCACCTCGACAATCCTCTTGTGTTTGAGCGCTCCTTTCCTCTGAAACACGGGAACCCTGGGTGGAGGGGAGAGAGGCGAGGGCAGGGGGGAGGTTGCAGACGTGGGGGAGGCCACAGTCAGTGGCGAGAGGGAGGGGGAAGGGGACACCGGGGTGGACATGATGCCTGGAGGATGCTGCAAAAGACCTTGAGCCCAAGAGTGGATGGTGGGGGAAGGACGGCGAGGACAAGGAGGAGAAGGACGATGGGCAAGAATGTAACAGGTTTCAGCCGAGAAAGGAAGGGGCGTTAATGGGATGTAGGACAAGGAGCGGAGACAAAGTGACAGATGAAGGGAAAGACCCAGAAAGAACGAATGAGTTGAAGGTGCAGAAGGAAAGAGTGCAGATAAGCGACAGGTAGAGAGTGAAAAAGGAAAAAGAGAGGTATAATGAAGGAGACAGGAAGGTTAATTCACATATAGAGACAAAAATCTCCAATGAGACTCTGAGACACTAAACAATTAGCGCAACACGCTGTGTCCCACATACTGGCTGCTCATCCTGCTGTAGTCCTTATCTCCAGCTCACTTCCAGCTAAGCAGGACCCACCAACCCCCCCCTGGACGTTATGTCAACTAACTCCTGTTGCCATGTCAACAACACCCCGCCAGCTGCTCCAGTATCGGAGCCTGTGTCCTCCTCTCATCTTCCTGCCTGCCTTTATTAGCAATTAGTCCCGTTTCTGCAGAAAAGTTTGGACCGGAGCAACATTAATCTGTCTGCAGGGAATGAGATGTGCAAGGGAAGGAATGCAAAACGGCAAATATTAGCTGGAGAGATTGTGTTCAAGTGTTACTTAATGATAAATAAAACACCAGCCGAGATTTAATGACCGAATAAATGAGCCCCGAAGAAAAACCGATGAGTGAAAAATAAAATGATGAAATGATGGTATGTCAGTGAAGACGCGACTGTTAATAAATTAAAAACTAAAAAGTGATGAATGAAAGAAAAAAAGACTCAGTGTAAAAATAAAAACGGACAAGAACTATAAATTTTTAAAAAGTGCACAGATCTTTAAGGAAGAAATAATAAAAATGGAATACCTGAATTTTGGATAATTTCCTCTGAAAGGCAGCCTCCTCCTCTTCTTCTTGAGTTCAAATAAAAAATAAAACTACGACGAACCTGTAGCTGGTCAACTCAAATAAGAAAAAAGTATCATAAAATAAAAACAAATTAAAAAACACTAAAAAAAGAAAAGTCCACAAAAAACCAGCAGGGAGAAGCTCAATGAATAAAAAAAGACTAACTTATGACTTTAAATGCAACAAGCAGTTTGTGCAATTCAAGTTTTCTAAGAATCTAAGATCGACGACTGGAGTCGGATAAACCCGTTAACCCAGAGGCAGCGTGAGTAGGAGGACCAGATAGAGAGGTGGTATTCTCTTTCCAAGATTGATTCTGTTTTTACAAAGAAGAGGCCAAGAGAAAGAGGAGGAATAACAAAACAGAGGGGGAGAGAAAGAAAGCGAGAGAGACGAGAGAGATTGAGGGAAATAGGCAGCGATTCATTTTGAAATCTGGGTTACTTCTCTCAGGAGAGGGTGAGGGAGGTGCAGGAAGGGGGGGTGGATGGAACAGAAGCTGCCATTTTGCCACAATCAGTACAGTATAGATGAGCAAGTGCCAACTGTCCCCTACTTCCTTTTGTGCCAAACAAGAGAGAAAACAATTTTTTTCCCAGAAAAGCCGTGAAAAATTCAGGGCTGGTTTTTTCCAAGACTTGGCTAGTTTAGCTCCAGTGAGCCTGAAAATAAAAGAAAACCACGCATGAAGCATCACGACGGCCGTGAAACGTAAACGACACTCTTGATTCGATGGTTAGCCGCGCCGTTACATAACTGTCAACTTTTAATGATCTGAGATCAGAACAAGTGGGGGCATGATCAGGCTGCTCCACTACGCACTGAATCCAGGTCAGCTCAGCTGGATGGGAAGGGTGGGAGTCATGAGGGAGGGGATGGGTGTCCACTGATCACACACACAAACACACAAGCACACACACATTAACCCGTGAACACCTTCTCACTGGCACATGATTAAAGTAGTTAAAATTATGCTTTTTCAGTTTTTTCCCATTGGACTGGTTCACAAAAATATTCACCCTTTGAAATGTAATAGTGATAAAAACATAAAGGACACAAAAAATTGGGTGATATTCCATCCATCCATGTTCTTTACCTGCCTCGTCTAGTTCCATTGACTGCTGCTCTATCTCCAGCAGTCAATGAGAGACGGGGTGTATCCTGGACAGGCTGCAGACTATCACAGTGCTACAACTATTCACAAGCACACACACATTTAAAGGCAGGGGTAACCTAAACTGCATGTTTTTGACCTGTGGGAGGACCCAGGGCAAACCCACATGCTGTCTGCACAGGAAGAACGAGTCACAGAAAAAGCCCCAACTCAGTCCTGAACCCGGGATCCCCTGCGTCGTTGTGCAGCCCATTCTTTAAACAGAGAAAATAGGTGTGCAGGTACTTTTAGTCCCTCGCTACTTCGCAGTTCAACTTTCACGGACTCGTTCTTCCGCGGGTTTTCAATGTAAAATTGTACATGACACAGGATTGTCAACTTTAATATTCCTCATGTGATTGAGACGGTACAAGATAAAATATCAGCGGGAAAAAATACTTCCAACAGGCGCCGCTATTTTGTTGTTTTCTTTCAATTAGCCTATAATAATCCTGTGCTCCAGCATCAACATGTGGCATGGAGGCTGCACAGCTGCAGAAAGAAAAGCTTTGCAGAGAGTGGTGAAGGCTGCACAGAAGTCTGTTGGAGTCAGCCTCCCCACCATCACAGACATCTACACCTCCAGATGCAGGAAGAGAGCCACCTGCATCATGAAGGACCCCACTCACCCAGCACTCACACTTTTTGCCCCACTCCCATCAGGAAGGAGGTTGAGGAGCATTAAATGTAAAAACCACTAGACCGAGGAACAGCTTCTACCCTGAGGCTGTTAGACTCATGAATCTCTAACTAGAATATTCACTGTGAAAAAAAATCACATCATGTTGCTGCTGATCTGTTTCATGTTGATGTGTTCATGCGTGCTCATCTGCTCACACAGAATCATGCTCATGTTCGTGCTGTTGTTCGACATAATGTTTTTATGCCATTAGTGCTTAGTGTATTTTTAGTTGATGTTTTTCTTAGTTCATATCTTAGATGTTATCATTGTTCTTCTTTTACATTTTATTGTTGGATGTAACTGGGACCCTGTGTACATAATTTCGCTCCACCACATGTACCACATGAGGTGCGAATGACAATAAACAATCTCTGACTCTGACTATAATGTAACACCAGTCAAAAGAACTACACTACCCAGAAGCCAACAGTGCTTCCAGCTAGTTTGGCAACACAAAGTCAAAAGTAACGACCCGTCTATGAAGCTCACAGAACTGGCAGGAAAGTTGCAAATAATCCTGAAGCTCAATTATCCGCACGCACATCAACCTGGACGGGGCGGTGGGCTTCGTCGCTGCAAGGTAGGTCTGCAGAACCAGAACCAAGCCAAACCGGAACCGAGCTACTGTTCTGCAAAGCTGGTGAGTACCCATATACAGTAAAACTTTGCAGTACTGTACAGCATATATACGTATATTGTTAAAATGATATAGGTTTGAGTTTAGAACATTGCAAGAGTGTGGGAAGGGTTTATAAAGCCTATATATATATATATATATATATATATATATATATATATATATATATATATATATATATATACATATACTAAAATAAATATAGTCTTCCTACTTGGATTTTGATGTGAAAACTCAATTTTTGAAAGGGACCTTTTTTATGCCTAGATGCAGCCACACACAAAAATAGAAACTGGTACCTCACTTGTTGTTAAAGTTATCCAGCTCACAAGGTAGACAGACAGATGGAGGGTATTTAGAATTTCCTCTTTGCTCCAAGATGAGGGACAAAACACTTCCAATATTTGTTGTGTTTGTCGAAAAAGAAAAAAGAACTGTGCATCAGCCTGAGAAATACATAAAAATGTAAACGGTACTTATAAAGATTAAATGTGCAAAATCAAACCTGAGAAAGTAAAAGTCTGACTGTGTCACCAAACTGCAACTCTGAAAGTTATAGAACACCTTAAATCACGTTTGCTGTAAAACTAATTATAAATATTTACAACAACGATCAGTCACATATATCGTCTGAAAAGTACGTAAGACCGGGTGAAAACTTGATTCTAACCATCTCACCTTAAGGTAGGACCTCACTGGGCTGCAACTGTTTGAAACCAGCTGGTGACTCAAAATTGTGAGAATTACAAAAAAAAAATAATAATAATTTCCTGCAGTCTCAGGAACTGTTTACACCACGACAGTTTTGAGAGAAACCACAGCTTTTCTGCTGTAGGTCGGTCAATCATGTACACAAGAACAGCCAGAGTTTTCTCTGAAACCAAAGGTTTTTAAATCCAGGTCCCAGTGGAGGTTTTAGGGAAACGACTCAGAGGTGGTGGATGTTCTGCACGTGTGCGAGCAGATTAACAGGAAGCAACAGTGAGTGTTAGTGCGACTCAACAAACCAACCTCGTTCTCTGCTCAAAGCAACATTTCTACTTTCAACATTTTGGATGCAACTGTTTATCTGTTCTAGACTATATGCACGTCTCGTTGAAAACGCAGATACAATAATTACCCTATTCTTAAAGACAGATTCAGGGTCAAGACCCCCTCCTTTTTTGTGCACATGGACAACTCGCATGTCTTCTTACAACTAACCCCAGCCAATAAAGTGCACCCTCCCTCAGCATAAAAGATAATTTGGGTAAAAGTATAATCATCTTAAAGCAGCAGTGCGGTAGTTTGTCATTTCCTATCTAGCAACCCTGCCTGACATCAAAACGACTGCATTACAGTGTAACCATGTTTTTTTTTCCATGTTGATTCGCCACAATAAACATTGAAAAAACACCAACATTTCCAGAGACCGTGCAAACAGGGCCTCACAGAATCCTGAATGTTTGTGACCAAGCAGCAAACAAGCTATTTGAACACTATTTGACAGCCGGGTGGACCATCAGTCAGGTGGTGATGAGATGTTTTAAGAAACTAACAGCCGTTTTCGTCTATTGTTTTTGTTGTTCAGCTTTGCTAAGCTTCTCAGCAGGTAGCAGCCTCCACACCATCCAGGACATCTACCACAGCCGATGTCTGTGTAAAGCACGCAGCATCGTTAAGGACCACACCCACTCAGCACAAGGACTATTCCATCTACTACCCTCAGGCAGACGATACAGGAGTCTGCCATCGTGCACAAAAAGACTCAAAGACAGTTATTACCCACAAGCTGTCAGATTACTGAACTCTTCACAATAATACAAAACAACTGACAATTATACTGCACTAAGCCACATCTGTGACACCTAACATGTTTATTGCTGCTGCACTATGTGACTGCATCATGTATGTCACTACCTTACCCTCATAATTCATTTAATTTCAGTGTTACTCAG